TTCATCTTAGAGTCACCCGATGCAAAAATTGATATTTAGCTAACATCTATCTATTCAAAAATCAGTATTTTGCTTAAATTTTGAGATTTTTGGACAAAAATAAGTACTTTTTCAGATTGTACAAACCCTACTCTTGTTTTCTTGAAATATTCTGTAGGAGAGAAGTATAATTTTTATTATTAATATTATTGTTTTAATTTGACAGCGCGAGATCGCCAAACTCATTACAGATTTTACCTAAATGTCGCTCTTAAAACAATTGTAATTTGTATTCGCAATTATAACATATATTCCTTTCATATAAAAATTAATATTTTAAGCGAAATTAAGATTGCATATGAAGAAAATTTTAAATTTAAGAAATTCCATACAGTCTGCAAAACGAAACGAAAGTTTCTACAAGTGATCAGCTGTTAGGAGAAGCACATCAAAAATATTTTTTAGTTTCTAACTAACTAATTTTTTAAAACTATTTAATTCAATTGGGTGGTCCCCTTGACACCGAAGCAATTATTCCAGGAGAAAAATTGATTTAAATATTCAAATATGAGTTCTAAATGCATCAAGGAGTTTTTTTATAAAAAAGCCGTCAAGCCAAGTGTCAAACAGCTCAGAACCGTCAGCTAAAAAACCAAGGATTGATGAACAACCAGAAAAAACTTCTAAACATGAAAAGTTTTTAAGTAAGTGGCTTAATTTCCTTGAGTCCTCTTCAGAAACATGTCAATCTGCCAGTATGAAGAATGGCGTGGGTGTGATGGGTTCATCATGTTTCCAAAGAAGTACTCTGTCTCACCACGAAAAAACTACGGAGCACAGACTTTCTCTAAATGCCAAGAAAAATGTTAAAGCTCTTAAAAATATCATCGAAAAGGAAAAATGTACAGCAACAGATGTCAATTTGGCAGTTTTCAAAACTGTTTACACTATTGGAAAAAAGGAATTTAGTTTAACGAAATTTAAGTCTTTAATGATGCTTATGAAATCTTGTGGAAATGACACTGTGAAAGAGACTCACTTGAATTTATCTCAAAATTCAGTTACAGACATAACTAAAGCTATTTCAGAAGTATTAGAATCAAAATTGGATGAGGATGTTTCACAAAGACCCTATATTTCTTTAATGATAGATGAGTCAACAGATATTTCAGTTGACCATAAATTAATTATATAGTATGTGAAATATTTGAAAAACTATGAAAGTCAATACAGTCTTTGGGCAAATTTAAAACTACTGGGTGAATGCAATGCAGATGCACTGAAAGAAATAATAATAAAGTTTCTCAACGAAAAAAAGTACTGTTATCAAAAGTTGTTGGCCTTTCAACAGATGGTGCTGCTGTTATAATGGGAAAAAACAACGGACTTGGCAAAAAATTTCAAGATATTATACCTGGTTTGTTGCACTATCACTACATAGCTCACCATTTAGCTTTAGCTGTTTCCCAAGCTGCTGATGGAATATCCCTGCTTCAAAGCTGCCAGAGAATTTTAGGTTCATTCTATGCTTATTTTCACACGTCCAATATTAGGAATTGAAAAGCTGAAATTGATGCAAGATGTGTTAAATGAGCCAAACATAACTCTCAAAGAATAAATACTGTTCGGTGGTTGTCATTTGGGAATGCAGGTGGATGCATGTCATATCAGTTATGATGCTGTGATCCTTGCCCTGACAGACATAATTGCAAACAGAAAAACAAGAAATCCTATGAACAAAGGCTCAGGACTACTTAAACAATGCTCACAATTTTCATTTGCAGCCACCTTGTCATTTTTGAGAGATGTGTTACTGATTATGAACAAAGTCAGAAGAATTTTTCAGAGCAATGATGTGGACTTCTCTGTGTAGGTTAACAGTCTAGAATCAACTATTAATCGCATGCAGAAAATGAAAAAGGAGGAAGGTCATGACTTTCATCTAAAGGAATTTTTAGAGTCTTCTCTTAAAAATGGGTATTATCGAGTTCAAGATATTAAATTATCTGTTTTCTACTAAATCTTTAAATGATTTCATGAGTGCTAAAAATGTTTTTTTGAGTGCATTGATAGAGAATCTGCAAGAAAGATTTAATTTGCAGCAGATGCATATTTTACAGGATTTTGATGTTTTGTTGAATTACTCTTGTGTCAGATGGAACAGAATCATCAAGATCGGAGTCCCTAGATAATGTTATTAAACATTAGTATAGGCCAGATTCTACTTCGGTTTTGGGTGTTTCAGCAGGAGAATTAAAGCAAGAGCACCTTGAAGTAGAGTGTTTTTATGCATGCTACAGAGAATTCAAATTTAAACAGTTTGCCAATTTGTTCTTCTCATCAAGTTTAGATGGTGAACTCTCTTATATCCAGGATTTACAGCCCTGGCACAAATAGTTATGACTATACCTTTGTCAACGGCTGTTTGTAAAAGAGGATTTTCTACTCAAAAAAAAAAAAAAAAAAAAAAAATCAAATCAAATCAAATAGGAGAAATAGACTGGGGGAAAAACAACTGGAAATTCTAACGAGAATATCTGAGCAAAGGCCAGATTTCAAAGAACAAAGGGAAAATTTTTGTGATTTTAATTTTGAAAGAGCAGTAACCTTGTCTTGTAGAAAAATCAGAGGAAAAGGAGATTAGAATTGTAATATAACCAAGTAAAAATGTTTTTTGTGACTTTAATTTTGAAAGAGCTGTGATATTGTAAGGAAATCAGGAAAAAAAGAGATTAAAATTGTAATGTAACCAAGAATAAATGTTTTTGTAACTTTAATTTTGAAAGAGTTTTGATATTGTAAGGAAATCAACTGTAACATTGTTGAAAAATCAGAGGAAAAGGATATTAAATTTGTAATATTAAATAAATATTTCATTTAGAATGTTTAATGTAAAATAAATTCTTTTCTTTGTAATGTTTAATATTTTCTACTAATACTGAACATATGCTATAATTGTCAAAAACCAAAATAGCATCCTCATTTTTTTTCTATTTCATTTTGTCCATTAAAAAAGTATTTTTTATAGGAAATTTGTCTCTGTATATATAGTTTATACTATTTCCATGTTTCACTCCTCATAAATGAATTTCACTTCTCCTAAAAAAGTCAAGGAGTATTTTTACTCTTCCAAAAAAATCCTAGGAATAACACTGTATATAAGGTATTGCTGTGCATGTGTATCATGACCAAAATTAACTCCTCGTATTATAACAATGTGAGGAAGATGTGATATACTTCCTCAACCTGAAATGAAAACTACATATCACAGATATGATGCATTTAATGGCCCTGAGAATCATGAATCGGTTGCTTGCTTTTATGATGCTCTAATACTCTTCTAGCATTGCTGAACTGAATCACGATAAGTATCTGAAACACACATCCCAAAGATTGATATCTTTTGCAGAACTTTTTTTTTTTTTCATATGTTAAGTAACCTTTGTTTATATGTTTTATTGGTCTATATTAGAACAATTAATTATAGCTTTTAAGCACTTTCGCACACTTTTAAGCAAAAATGTTCGTAAAAAAGTACATAAGAAAATTTTTTTACAGAAAAATGCCTAAAACACAGAATTTATTGATCAAAATACTACAATAATATTTTAAGAATAAACATTTAGTTTTACTAAATCAACAGATTTTTTTTTAAATGGGATAATGTTGCTTGTATTATACTTAAAAATTAGAATTCATTTAGTCAAATAAAAAAAAAAAAAAAAAAAGAAAAGAAAGAAAGAAAGAAAGAAAAGAAAGAAAGAAAAATCTGCTGGTTTTTTATACCGTTGACAGACTAATTTGACACAAAATCAAATATATATATATATATATATTAACATCCTATAGCTATAAACTTGGGAAATATTTTGTTAAAAACATATTTTATATTACTTTGTGACCACATAAGCAAACACTAAGCATATGAAGATCAAGGCATTTGATTAAATGTGAAAAATTTTAAGAACTCTTTTGTCATACATTTCTCAGATACACATACAACTGACGAGAGGATTTATTTCTCTTTACTGTGTTTAAAGCACAATACAATAAAATACAAAAACCTCCTCATACATTTAAATAATATGTAATTTATTTATAGATCTGAAATTATACTTCTTAACTGGGCAGATTTATTGTACTTAAAATATAACTAATAAAATAAAATACAAAAACAATCTCTTTTAAATAATATATTACTTACAAGTCAGAAATTACTTTTGTTAACTGAATAAATTTTACAGAACAGATATTTAAAAGCCTCCAAATGTTAATTTTTCATTCAATATAAAAGCAAAAAAATATTAAATGATGTAATAACATTAAATCCCATATTAAATAATCAAGTATTACGTAGAGTACTATTATTATCCATAAATAAAAGTGAGAGTATGATCAAACTCTTGCAAGCAATATACGTTGTTGCCACTTTAATCACGGTGCAAGGATTTACAAAATCTTGTTGCCCTTAATTTTATCTTGAGTATGCATTTAAATATAATATAAATAATAAAAAAGACCGAAATAAATGATTTTTTTTGGGGGGACTGAGTAAAATTAACAGCCATCTTCCTAGATTGTGAAACAATAAGGTATTTCAAACTTTATGATAGATGGATAAAATATTTATTTATGTAGCCAAAAAAAGATTTTTTACTTATATACAGATGCAAAATTTAATTATTGCAGCTGACCTTCATGCATTAATATTTTGCTCTTTCAATTTTCTTTTGGGAAAAATTCTAATTTTCATACTCTTATTCAGTTATTAAAAATAACATGTTTGGAAGATGAATAAAATTATATATAGATATTATATTATGTACAGCAGATATATTTAATATTTATATAACTACAAATTTGAAAGTATAAGTGATCTGTTAATATATGAGATAATGTTGCTAATTTTTAAACTTTTTCACTAATTTTAACACATTCTTTTCACAATTTTTTTCTCCTATGAAGAATCTCTTTATACATAAATTTTAGTAAAGCTAATATGTATGTATGTTTATACAAACCTCATCATCATTTTCTGGCAGAGTAATTGTTTTACCAATTATTACATCTTCTCCTGAAACTCTGGTACCAGGTGCAATAATTCCATCATCATCCAATTTATCATAAATAGCATTTCGCATACCTACAAAATATTAAAATAGCATTTAAGATTTAAAAAAGTTTAAAAATAAAATTCTAAAGGGGTAAAATTACAGTTTTTTAAGGACCTTGGCAAGTTTCTCTAGTAGGTTTTTCAAATTGCTCCTCCTGATCACCAATTTGCTTTTGCTCTGCATCTTTATAAGCTCGATAGAATACAGATCTGAAACAGGGTAGTTGATATCAAATGATAAGCATTACAAAAGGTATTAAATTATATTGATAAAAATTTTACTTTACCTAAAAAATCCTCTATCAATTGCAGATGCATTTAAAATTATAGAGTCTTCTTGATTATATCCAGTATATGACAAAATTGCAACAATAGAATTAATTCCAGCAGGTAATTCTCGGAAACGCAGATACTCCATTGACCTTGTAGTGACCAAAGGCTTCTGAGGGTAGTATAACACATGGGCCAATGTATCCATTCGAACATGAAAGTTTGTTATATACACACCCATAGCTTGCTTACCCATAGCAGACTGATAAGTGTTACGAGGAGACTAAAAGAAAAGAAATAAATTTAATATGTGTTTTTAAACCATAACTAAAACTGTTAAAAAGGAATGATTCCTCTTCAAGCAAGAGTTTACTTTTGCCTATGGTAATGAAATTAGTTTCTTGATATTCCATCTAATGGCTCACAAAGCCATACATAATGGAAACTGATGATATATATATACATATATAAATATATATGTGTACTTAAGTTCTCATCTCTGTGATAAATTTTGGATAATCTAATGAAATTTCAGTCAATAAAATGATGAGAATGCTTTTGGTCACTTAATATTTTAAAAGAAAATCTTATTTATATTGAATAAATTTTATAAGAAAAGTTAGAAGTTTCAAATCTGAATTAATATTGTCTTGAAAAGAAAGAAAACAATGGAAAAAAAGGGGGGGTTCATGATGAAATTGTTTTTCATACATGCAAAAAATATACCTGCTTATCCTCCTTTTAAAAAATAATGTCTCATTCACTCCCCATATTAATTATTTGATGAAAATTTTGTTTAATGCTAAAGATATTGCATTTTATTTAATCATAATCTCAGCTATCACGAAACTAATGCATAATTTACTATTTATTATATCCACATTTCTAGCAGCTTTTTAGAAAATACAGCCTGCTACCATAATTTTTTAGATTGATTTGTTCGAAATTTGAAAAATATTTCCAGTAAACTAAGATACAAAGATTATTTTTATTCTTTGCTTTAATTTAAAATTTAATCTTACTCGGTATTCTTTAAAAAATGATGCTGAATTCCATAGCGATGAAGATTCTGGGTTTGAATCTTGGAGAAGGTACAAATGTTTGTAAATGTAAAGTGCGTCTGAAGCAAATGGTACTCAAAATATACGGCAAGCTAGACGTCCTTCCAAGTCACTTGATAATAGGGGAAGAAGCGTAGCAAACTCTGGACACTAGAGTAGAACTGGGCAAAGTCATACTACCTTATAAGGGCTTAAGGCAAATGCCAATGACAGATGTAATCCTGCAATCCTTGCCACAACAAAATTTGTGGGTTAGTTTTCATTAGGCTAGACAAGTGAAATTAGACATAACAATAACATATTAAACTTATTAATAACTTATTAAACATTTCCTTTTAAGAAAATAAATATAGTATTAACAGAAATTATCTGAAATTGCATTAAGCATATTACAAGGGAGAAAGACGAGAAAGAGAAAAGAAATATCGTAATGTTAAATAAATATCAGTCTAGTTTAATTATAACAATTTAAAGTGCAAATGATCACCTGGTTATGATCAGGGAAAGGAATAATGGAGGCACAAACACCCAGCATCATGGATGGATGGATTTCACAATGAGTATATGTGGAACAATATGCTTGGCCCTTGTCTTCCTGAAGATCGTCAGGCGTCATTGCAAGCATCACTGTCTCTTCTTCTAAAGTGTCAATGTATTCAACAACACCATTGGCAACAAGATCTTGCCAACTAACAAATGAAATGTAGCATCAGTTTTGTAAAATAAATTATGTGTTATGAATAATAAAAAGTTACATTTTCAAAAGCAAATTTCATGCTTATATAGTTAATACAATTTCAAAAACATAAACATTCTTCAGAATTTCTTAATGTTCCTGTAATTTATGGAATCCAAAAGTTTCAGTAAAAATGCTTTCTTCAAGTAAAGGTATCTATTGTTTCTACTGATAGCTCAAATGTTTACATAACAGGCTGTAATGGCATGACTGATGTACAAGAAAAACCTAGGTGCCTTTCGTTTAAGAATCAAGACTTATGTCTACTCACAGTTCTTACCAAAAATATTTTAAATATAAACATAAAATTTACTGATATACTTTAACCCTTTTGTGATGGAAGGCATAACTGCTGGAGCCTACTGTTTCTTTTGTGAGAGTCTCTCCAGGGCACGAAGATTTTTTGTTATTAAGCCTTTAAATCCACAAAATTTCAGATAGGTGAACACATTGTTTAAAAATGTTGTGTAGAGTATATATGCAGTATGTGCTTTTTATATACTTTTTTTATTTACCTACTTCAGATACTTTCTTTTTTTTTTTTTTTAATTTAATTTGTTTTTTTTTTTTTTTTTTTTTTTATTTTGCGAATCATTTTTTTTTCCAGTGTTAACTTGAATTTCAGTGACTTCTAACATCATAGATTTGACAACTAAAAATTTTTCTTAAAACTGATTCTTTTGTGAGATAAATTTCAATGCAGGGATCTACACTTAATCCTCTGTTATATTTCTTGAATTCATAATAGTTCCTTTGCCTTTTTGGAGGATTTCTGCAGAAGTGTGAACAAACGAAGAATCGTCATCACACTTTCTCAGAACTTTCATCTTAACAAAGCACTTCTTGTCTAGCTTTGAAAGCAGTTAACTTTAGTTTTTTTCTGCAAAACCAACATCTGACCAATTTTCTTAGTATGCAGTGGAACATTTTCAGTCTTCTTTTTTCTTTTCCTCATTACAGTCCCTTAAGTATTTGTCCCAAGTAAAAAAAATTCATTCATCAAACAGTCAATATATAAATGACAAGTCTTCAAGTACAAATTTAACAACACTTTCACCATATGATCTTGAAGTTGCCCCCCCTAAGTATAAATGATACAGCTATAAATATAACCTGGTTTACATTCATATAATATGTTAAAAATTTTCAACACTTTGACTTTCTAATGCTCAAAACAGACATATTTCAAATACACTAGGTATATTTTTCAATTAGAAAGTGGACTGCAAACCCATACACCCAATGCAATTAGGTTATATAATCAAAATCCAAGTGTCTGTGAGAGTGAACTTTCTCTCATTTCAAGTTGAAGAGCAAATACACTCTATAACAAAAAAATTGACGCACCAAGAAGGAATCATCTGATTGCTTTGAAATTTTATATGCGTAAATGTTTTGACCATATATGCAAATGATTAAAATTTGTTGTCCAATGAATGAATAGTGCGATCTCCTGTGCATCGGTACTGTGCATCCAGCAGATGTGTATATAAGGAGCTGTTCTTGAACTGTTGTTAAAAATTTCTGTTGCAATGCCATTTAGAATACCTTTCAACGACTGAAAAAAATGCCTCGCCACAGGATTCAAGCTCATTACGAGCAACTGCCAGAGTTTGAAAGAGATCATATCATTGGTTTGGAAGAGGCAGGTTGGGCAAATCGGAGAATCACTAGTCATATAAGTCGAAGCAATGTGGCGATTAGAAGATAATGGCAGATTTCAGCATCATGATGGTAATGGTCGACCTAGAGCCACAACAGATCGGGAGGACAGAGTGATTGTCAAATCAGCTGTCACAGCACCTGATTCATTGCCATCAACCATCAGACGTGCGACCTGCTCACGAGTGTTCACCATGACCATTCACTGATGGCTGATAGAGCAAAATCTACACTCATACCAACCATTACACTACTTGCCACTCCCGCCTGCGCACTGTCGAGCTCAATTACAGTGGTGCTTGGCTCAAACAGGTTGGAATGATGCTGACTGAGGACATATAGTCTTTTGCAAGGAATCCTACTTCCAACTGTGTCGTGACAATCATCGAAGAGGTGTTTGTAGATGCCCAGAGCAGCATGCCAATCCTGCTTTCACTACTGCATGCCATGCAGGCCCCCAACCAGGAGTTATGGTTTGGGGTGCTATTTCCTTTGATAGCCAGACCCGTTTGGTCGTCATTAGAGGCACACTTACAGCATAGTGGTACGTCCATGACATTCTGAGACCCGTTTTGCTACTGTTCCTTTTGCAGTACCTTGGTCTTATTTCTCAGCAAGATAATGCCAGACTACATACGGCACATGTTGCTATGAGCTATCTTACAACTTGTCAAACACTTCCTTGGCCAGCCAGATCTTTCTCCCATCGAGCATGTCTCGGGTGTGATTGCATTTACCAGGGAATGTTGATGACCTAGCCTGATAATTGGAGCAAATTTGGTAAGAAATACTGAAGGAGACCATCGGGGAGATTTATCAGTCTATGCCCCACTGTGTGACAGTTTGAGTCAACACCTTATTGAGCTCGTTACTTTAACTATGTAACCCTGAAATAAATCATTCAAATGTTCTAAAATTTTAATCATTTTCCATTCTGTACATAATCTTCCTATCCACCAATTTTTGTCTCCATCAGACAATTCCTTCTTGGTGCATCTTTTTTTTTTTTTTTTTTTTGTTTTGTTTTGTTTTGTTTGTTAGAGAGTGGAGTTTAAACTGCGGGTCATGACTCCCATGAGGGTTGCGCGACCTGCAGCAGGGGGTTGCCAAAAATTTTAGCAGTTTTGATATTTCTTTAACTTATTATAATAATTTTACAATTACCAAATATTTTTACATAATGTATCTGAAAATAGATAAAGATATGACAACACAAAGAAAAAATGAAAACATTTTGACACACTCTTTTTATAATACACATGTTCATTTTACTACTTGCTTTTTGCACATGATGCTGTCATTTTGTCTGTTAGTTATTTAAAATTTTCACATTATTCTATATCTTAAAATTAAAAGTTAATGACCTAAAACTGCAATAGTATATTACAGTACAAGTGAAAAAATTGACAGTTTAACTTACACGCATGTCGGATTTGCACAATGCTTATGGGATCTCACAAAATTTTTGTAAATATTATGAGGTCAAGGGGTCGCAACTGGAAAAAGTTTAAGAAGCCCTGTTATAGAGTGTACATACCAAATCCTATGGATATATAATGCCATCTTGAGCCAAAAATATTAATTTCTAAAATGCTTCAAAACTCTGACACGGTTTTATGACAGTCGTTCATCCTGGCACAATTGCATGAATCAGCAATAAAGGGTTAAGGAAGCTCTCAGTTTCAAAATATCATCATATCATGAACATCAAAGCAATAATTAAGAACAAGTATGAGCATTTTCTGTCACCTTAAGATTGAAATCTTCCACAATTGTTTTTCTCCCTTACCCCATTTTGTTTCTTCTGCATATTCCAATATACTTTGGAAACTTTTAATAATTTCTTATGAAATATCTGATGCCAAAAACAAATGTTTTACAATTAAGTCATACACGCTATGCAGTGGCAACATTAACAAAGAAACACCTAACCAACTGAAATGCACTATCTTAATGTATATAAACAGACATAAAATAGACCATTGTGAAATTTGAGAAATTGCATTTAACAACCTTTCTGAATTTCCTCTCTGAAAATCTCTTAACAAGCAGTCTAATATTCTCCCTGGTTACTAAACTGATTCATATTGCTACTGTTAACAAGTTTTATCCTTTGACCTATTGTTAGTAACACTTTCCCAATGATTTGATTATTTTTCTTTTGGCCCAATCATGGCTCACTTGTATTCAAATTAATAGACATAGCTACCAAGAAACATTTTTCCAATCCATCTCTCATACAGCATATTTTAGCTTTCTTGGTAAAATCTATAGCTTAACAGAAACTTGTAAACTCCCCAGTCCCCCCCCAATAGGGCCAATTTTTCAAAATGGCACCAGCTGCTAGACAAAATTTCAACAATGCATATGCAAGAAATGGCACAGCCATTTCTTGTGCAGCCTTTCCCATTATCATCAAAAATATAAACACACACTCACATACAAAAGTATAGATTTTGTATATATTTCATATACACGCTCACATATAAAATATACACTTTTCTATAACTTAACAAAAAATTCAAAAATCCTAGAAATACACATGAGGAAAAGTGAATAAAATTTAAATAGAAACAAATTTTAAATGCAAATAAGCTAATAATAATAATATTAATGATAATATATATATATCATTTATATTAAGAAAACTTTTAATATACCATCACCAAGAAAAAGAAATTTAATTAAAACCATGAAAAAGTATAAGAAAAAGAACTTTTTTATTCAGTATTTTAATTATTATTTTAAATTAGCTTATTCTAGACATCTATTGTGGTAAAAACAAAAAAACTGTTAAGAAAAATTCTTCAATCACAAAAATCCCAAAATCAAACATAAAAATTTTAAGTACTGAAAAAGTAGCTATTTTCATTGATCGCAGATTGACTTGTCAAGGGGAATAACCCAATCTTCTATCAATTAACAACAACTAAATTAAGTGAGAGTGTTTCTTCTTTCTTCCAAGTATGGATCAAATTATATTTCTGATAGAGCGAAATCATAAGTCATGAACAATACTCAATCAATAGAAAGACATTAGTCAATTTAAGCCAAAAGAACCTTCATAAACAATATCAAATTAGTAAATAATCTTTTAAATTTAAGTTGCTCATGAAGACCACGACTAAATAAGAATCTTACTTTAGAAGATATATTCTCCAATACTCTCATTTTCAAATCAAAAGTAAAAACAAAAGTTATACATTTTTTAACATTAAAAAGTAATTCAAAATCAAAAGAAGATCAAAATGGATAAAATTCTTTATACTAAAGTTTAATAAAAGTACTTAATTAGATATTTAAAGATTAAACTCAGGAAGAAAATTAACTTGCTTACCTACAAAAATTAATAATAGATAAATATATGAATGATAACAAAATTGAAAGCTGAAGAGAATAAAGGACTTGATAAAAATGATGAACGCTGTAAGCAATTAAATTACACAAGATGTAAACACATGAAAGTACCTATAATTGTTATATTCTCTTTCCTTAAGTCGATCAACATGTCTCTTCTTTAACAAGAGTTTTTGATTTTCAACTATTAACAAAGGTCTGCAAATTCTACCAGCATCAGTATAAATTCGTATTTCACGATCACGAATGTCTCTTACCATCGAGACCTACAGAAAACAATTGTAATAAAAATTTCAAAATTTTTCCTGCAATTTCAAAACACATATATATATTTCAAAAGAACAGTTTTCATGTAACAGAATAAAATTTCCACTTACTATCATAAAAAAATTTCCAAAGTAGCAAATAAATTTATAAAGTTAAACATTTTGCTCATTAAATGGGGGAGATGTAACGCCATACCTGCCAACCTCTAAAGATAAAAATTCAGAAGATTTCTCCCCCAAATTCAGAAGATTTCTCCAAAATTCAGAAGAACATGAAGAATTAATATCATACTTTGATATTAAAAAAATAACAATTTATACAAATAGAAAAAAGAAAATTGTACTTACATTAGTAAATCTCAATTAAGTAATAACTAAAAAAAACAAGAACTTAATTCTTACACAAAAAAATTATTGCAATGAATTTAGAGTGCATTTTTGGCTTTAGCCAAAACTTCTTTGGAAAATTTCCTGTCATAACAATTAGTTTTCTCATAACATTTAGCAATTAAAATGTTTTCTAGAGTTTTTGCTGAAATTGAAGAACGAAACATAGTTTTGTTTTTCTTCACAACACTGAAGACTCTCTCGCACTCAGCATTACTGTGTGGAATTACGAGAATAGCACATAAAACTCTTGCTAGTCTATCATATTTTGGTGTTCCATCAGCTCTTTTTATTCTTTTTAAGGTACCAACGAGGACATCAAGTCTATCTTCTCCAGAACTGGCAAAGTCTTCAAACTGTGCAGCAGAAAATTGGTTCTGTAGTTCACCTAAAGCATCATTATGGCATTCACTTTCTTTAATTGTTAACAAAAATGAAAATTTATCAATAAAAAAACGAATCTTTTCAAAAGATGAATTTTCAATTTGTTTCAAATTTGCCACTTCAGCATTTAAAAGAACTTTATTTTGCAAAGGAAACTTCCTTACAATGTAATCACAGGGAGGAAAAGTACTTTCTAACACATTGAAAAAATTCTTTTTTCTCATGATCTTTCAAAGAATTTACAAGTTCCCTGGACGGTTATTCTACGCTACGAGAGTCGACAGCAAGTTGTGGGCCGCCAGATGTCACTGCTAGTAAAAAACAGGTCTGCCCGACATCCTATATTCTCTGAGTACGGAAGTTGTCGAAAGCACGTGAAAAAGTGTTGCCGCGTCGTCAATCAGAGTTGTGCAGTTGACGTACTAAGTAGACAATGGCTTTGTAGTGTTTTCGCCGCTGATTTTTTCATATTTAAGCAAAGAATACGATCGCAGATCTCTGAATCGGTGGCGAATTTATAGAAAATATGTTGATGCTTTTGCTCTGCCAAAAGATGTTTTCATTGCATATTTCAGATTGCCAAAATTTATAGTTATTTTAATTTGCGATGAACTGAGAGAGTATTTGGAGCCACATTCAGAAAACAAGAACGCAATTTCTACTGAAAGAAAGGTTCTACTACTCCTGAAATTATAGATATAAATTGTAATTGTATGCTTTAAAAATGTAAAAGATAATAAGTTTATCAAGCACATAAACCTTCTTAATTTAATGCAAATATAGACATCTGATAAGCTTCTACTCGATTTATGTACAGCAAGAATTACGTTTACTTTAAAATCTAACAGTTGAATACCTTACGAATAATACTGTGAATACAAAAAAGGAATGTCGTTCATTATTACGCGAAATTCACACTACTGTAAAAAAAAAAATTTTTTTTTAAATTATAAAACTATAAAATAGCTTTATAATATTTTTAAAAGTGTCACACTAGTAGTAGCTGTACTACTACTAGTGTGACACTTTTAAAAATAAGTTTTAGCCCAGAGGGGCTATTAATTTTGTTTTGCCATTTTGTGGCGTTTCACGATAAATGGCATTTCACTTTTCAAATCATTGCCACCAAGTATTTTCGCACTCTATTATATTTAAAGAAATTAAATAATGAGGAATCTGCAGAATGTATGAATGTTATAAAACAACGGTACTTAGAGCCATGAAATTCTGAATAACGTAATACTCTATTCTAATATGGGCATCTGGAGGCCCAAATTTGGAACTGGAAATTTGTATTATTATCCATTTCATATATCATATTTTGTAAAGCATTTACGAGTTTTTGATTAAGAAATCCAACTATTTCAAAGCGAGCAATGGCAGCATTGTACCGGGGGGGGAGAGGAAAACAACATATTCATCTCTAGCGCGCGATACTATGTATCGGAAATTCTAAAGATATGCTTTTTTAAAATTATATGATATTGCTGTTGAATTGAATTTTATGGTTTAAGTGCGAAAAACATGATATTTAATAAATAAAGACAACACGCAAAACGTTAAAAAAATGGCCGTTTGGGAGTAATATAAAATCTGATTTTTGTTGTTGCTGTTGTGTGTGTGTAATTTATTAAGTTTTAAAACTGGTTTCTAAGTGATGACTTTCTAAGGGAAACTGGCTCATATACATGTTACACATGGGGAAAACCACGAAAACACCGCCCAGCTCGTTCGCGGGATTCGAACCTCGGACCAAACTACCTGCATTCAGCGACTCTACCGCTCGGCGGCTGGTAGGTTTGTTAGCAGAATTATACTGCATTATTAATGTATTATGCTATAAAGTAACAATGCTATAAGACTGAGGGTTTGTTCATGGAAAAGTACTTTTGTAACTTATTATAGTATTAAAAAATCATTGTTTCTTAGCAAATTTAGAAAAAAAAAAAAAAAAATACTATTCATAGCATTCTCGTTTTTATATTGTAAAAGAGATATTGATTATTATTAGTTTTCTATTTAAAATGTGTTGAAACGCTGGTTTGACAAGGACTTCAACTGCAGGAGACCTACACTGATTATTTTTTCTTTAGTACTCGCATTGTGAAAATATCACTATCTTTTAATTATTTTCACAGAATAAAAATCTTTTGAGAAGGAAGAATATTTAAACTGAGCAGTTCTTTTTTAAATTAAAATAAACAGCAATGTAATATTAAAAAAAAGGTATTAGTAATTGTGTGACAAAAATTGCAAAACGAATTAATCACACATACAAGATAGATTAGTTTAATTTTGGTTGTATATATTTTATATTGAAAAAATACTTTCTTTCATGTTAATTATAGAATAAATTATTTAAAATGAAGCATTTTGATGCGTGTGTGATAGTTGAATGCAGCAGCAATCGGCCATACTGTAATAGCGAATGAATTTTATTTCTTTTCCTGAAAGAAATAATTTTCATAGAAAAAGAAAATAAAAAAAGGGAAGAAATAGTAAGAAAGAAATATTTTCTTTCTAATTTCTTATTTAGAAAAATATTTTTTCAATAGTAACTGTAAAATAAATTGAGGAAAAACAGTTTTAATGTAAGCATGGGGAGGAAAAAAAAAAAAAAAAACTTAGTTTGCTATTAGATTGTAATGCAAATTAATCATATTATAAATTTAAATGATTAAAATTGTTTATTTCTAAAAGTATTTGAAGTAAGCTTAATTCATTTACTTTTATCTATTTACCATTGCTTTCATGGTATCCCATATCATTCCTTATTTCTTAGCTCTAAATTCCTGCGTTAAATTTCCCCTTAAAAAACGGAATTTTCCTTCACATAACACAGCAGCATATTCTGCTGCGTGTTGGTCATAATACTGTTTTGTGCAATTTTTTTCGAACTACAAATGCAGCGTGTGAATTAGTGAAATAATGGGAAATTATTCCTAGAACTTCAGACAGCGCACACTATAAATTTCGTCACTCGTCTGTGCCTGCGATTGGTCTAAAGCTCCTTGAGCCTTGTCCCCTTCTCAGTAAAGTTAAATGGACCCACCCGCCCACCAACTGAGGAACCACAGAATGGCTTTCTCCGATAAGTTGTGATGGCTGTCCATACCCGTTTTTTTTAGTCAATATTGTTTGCTCAAGTTGTAGACAGATCCCGTGATCATAGAATAGGCGTCCTGGTTTGATTTCCAATTATAAGATCATTGCCATCCGTTTGATTTGCCAAACTATTATAGGCAATATAAAATCAACACATGTTTTTCACAACGGACGGCTTTACAAACTTAGTTAAAAGTTCTTTCAAAAGATCATTAAGAATTTGGATACAGCAGGGCAGATTTTGGCGAAGCTGATTGTAGAAGGGTATTTAAACTTTCAAAAATCTTAATGGTACTTAACACAAATCTGCAATATGCTTTGTTCAAATCCGAAGAAAGAAGATAGAAAATCCTTTCCTCTCGGCTAATAGAAGACTGTTTCTTCTTCCCTTCAACTTTTTTAACAAAGTTGACCTTTGAGAAGTCTTCTAAGCATTTCTTTTTAAAGGTTTGATTCTGTGTGTTGGCTTTTCCCTTTTAAAAGCATTTTGATTAGAAGCAAAGTTGGTTTTCGGAATCTTATATGCCGATATAAATTTGATGGGATCTGTGGTTTCGTTTTGGTCTCTTCGTGGAAATATTTTAGCAATGCATCCCACTGTTCAATAAACCTTCCTAGCGCTCTGCCTAAGGATAACCATCTCGTGCATACATGTTTCAGAATTTTCTTGTTTCACCAGAGCACAGTTCTTGGAAATTCTTTAGGTTTTCTTTCCTTTTACACTTTTTTCCAGATAGAAAAAACACATCAATCAGAAGCTGGTCGATATTAATGGTAATAAAGCAGTTGCAGCTTTTTCTGCTGCCAAATTAATTAAGTGGCATGGGCATCCAATAACAATTAATTCATTTTGTTCTTTTTGAGGAGGAAAGAGGCTACACCTTTTTGTCACCACCATGAACAAGCATTATCTGCACCAAATGAAATGCAGTTTGATATTGGGATGTTAAGTTGTTTCCACTCATTAATTACCAAGGAGTCAATATTTTCCCCCATAGTCTGGAGTGCAGCTATCGTTTTACTTTGTGCATCACAAGAAATTTCGTTCACAATAGAGGATGTTTTCATGCAAGCACAAGCATATTTCTGAGCAATCTTGGAGTCGGGAAACATCCGTCGGAAAA